ATCTGTATACACTACAACCCTTCGAGAACTTCATCTGATCGCACTCACAATTTTATCTCAGATATCTAATCTAGATTTTTCTTTTTGACTTTTTGTTTACGGGCTATAATGTTTTCAACATCAAAAAACCGAGGTTTTATGTAAGGTGCCGAAAATGCAAAAGTCGAGCGGATTTTTTTTCGCGTTGGATCATACATGGTTGGATAGAGCTGATCGAGCTGATCAACAATATCTAAATTCAAGAAAGTTCAAGTCCGTTTACACTGATTGAAATTTCTAAAACTATTCTATTTGGATTCAGCATCAAAAACTGAACACATCCAAGTAAGGACTAGAGAAATTCATCACAATCCTGTCCCTTAGCAAACTCGACTAGAACCGGCAAGGGGCAAAGTGACACCTTATTCTCGTTATCTTTTGTTTGAAGAATTGCCCTAGTATTCATATATCATTTGAATCCTCCATCGAACTAGGATAATCGAAAAACTGTTGTTTCGCCTGTTGATGTGAACAGAATGCTTCATTGATATTGAATTCATTTAAACATAGTGGACATTCGTGAATTCTTTTTAATTGTTGGATCGTACGAGCACCTTGCCGCGAATTAGAACGAACCGGTGGTGCAACTATATTTTCTTGGAATGGATTGACAAGCAGATTGTTCGAGTTTTGTTGATTTATCTACGATCTTAAAAGTTGTAACGAATCATTTTCAGTCGGTATAGTTGGTTGTCTGTTTTGCTGTGTTTGATTGTATGCGGCTTTGTGACCAGTCGTAATCCGAATTAATGATTGCTTTTAATTCGACTTTAGCAGGTAAATTATGACCAACGATAACATTATATCCAACCTGATGATGTAAATCAGTCAGTTTACGAATAAAATGATATCATCAGAAATCAACACAACAGTGGGAGTTTTATGAACACGTTCGAATCGGTTAAGATCTGATGATATATATCGATCAACTGCACCTGGTTTCCTGTCTGGCACATGAATAATTCTGATATTTGCTTGTGACAGACTAAGCTGTTTATCCTTCAATATTGCATTACCATCACAATAACAATTAGAACCAATTTCTCTTAAATCAGACGAAATTATCAGCAAATATCTCCAGCATTTTCTGAATATTCGGATTTCCCGAGCTAGTGGAAGCCACGCTGATTTTAAATGGCGTTCATGATCCGGGTTTAATGTGAGCTTCTTAGCAGTGAAACAACTGTCAGTTCATCAAAGCAAGATTCACGACCGTATACTATATTATTTCATCGTATTTTGACGTAAACCCGGCCAACGTATTACGTCCATCGTAAATGACGTTGTTTACGTTGAAATACGACAGTCGTAACGGCTGACGTAATACGTTGGCCGGGTTTACGTCAAAATACGATGAAATAATATAGTATACGTCAAATTACGTCGTCGTAATTTGACGTATACGACCGTATAGGACGGTCGTAATCATGGACCTGGGTTACTACTGCACTGGCAGATACCAAATAGAAACCGAATTCAAGTCATCTGTTGAGACCCTTAAGCAAGGTTGAAACCGGCCATGGCTACTCTCAATAATTATGACTCACCACTATTCCTAATGTGGATCTGCCACTACAGTGAATTGTCTTCGGACAGTTTACTTGTAACAGAGTAGTCATTTATATTCTGTTGTGATCTTCGGATCCTTACGTTTACATGCAAGCCATCTGATTATTTCTTTAGTCGGGATGAAATCGCAATAACGGTAGCTATGACTCACCCTCACACCCTCAAGAGGGTTGAATAGCAGTTTAAGATATTTTTCCTCTGTTTTGATTAACGAGTTGGGATACATCCGATCAAGAAATCCATCTATTTCAAGGGATTGAAGCATAATCTTGCTCTTTCGAGATTGTGTGGGCTCCTGTTGGACTCCTAGTGGAATGTTTCTCCTTTATAAGATTCGTTAGTTAGGATTAAGGTTGCAAGCCATCTGATGACACCCTTGAGCAAGGTCGAAACCGGTCATGTTTGCTTTCAGACTCGAAATTCATTCTCTTCCATCTTATACTCACCATATAAGAATTGCTGCGATGGATTTTATCTTCTTCTGTCATAAGTTGATTGTTGGAAGTCATTTTGATAATTTTCATAATCTTCTGTTGATGGAGATAAAGTCATATGCTGAACGAGAATTTCGCAGTTACCTGGTGATGGCCTTAAGCAAGGTCGAAACGATCGTTGTAAGTAGCTAGAAATTCATCCTCTCCCATCTTATACTCACCCTCGTTATGATCATACTAGACCACATAGAATCAAACCACCTGATGATTCCCTCAGCCGGGATGAAATCGCGATAGTGGTAGCTTTTTCTCAGCCCTTAAGGGTTGCGAAAAAGTGAAATTTTTCAGTCCGTTTTCATTTTTTCATCACTCTCCACTAAAAGTTGATTCTAGACGCTCTACTTTCGGCATTGCTCACATATCTATGCTAAAAAAAACTTCAGATTTTAAGAAAGAGGCTAAAAGTCTCTCTGATGTCTAGATTTGAGATAAACTCTTGTTATTTTTATGTGATTCGACTCGCGTAGATCCTTTTTTAACCCGAAATCGAACAAGTCACTCTGGTGCAACAAAATCGTATTGTATAGAAAACTTTGGATGAAGTGGAAATTACGAACAACTGAGAAGAATGTTCCTAAGTTATAATCAACAGTATTTCAAATGAGAGTCCTCTAAAAGTCAATTTCCTGTTGAGTTTTGCATAACTTCCAGCTTGGTCGTTCACTACACCTCTTCCACCATGCAGCAAAATTAGTCTTTGATAACAGGAGATCACCAAGGCCAGCTGTGATGAGATTTTCCGTATACGGTAAATAACTAATATCAGCCAAAGTGAATTGATCTCCAGCAAAGTATTGATTCTTTGCCAAATGAGTATCGAGAATTGCTACGACACCTTCCAATTTCGTTTTTTTGTCTTCCACCAGTTTTTGATCAGCTTCACCCAAATGCTTCATCTTTGGTTTCCACAGCGTTTCCCATACGAGAGAAGCAGCCTCAGGATTAAAATTTTCAGATTCGACGTTGAACCATTGTTCCATTTGACCATAGGTCTTCGCATCTTGAGGCTGCAGTTTTGCACCTGGGTAGCATATAGAAAAAAAATCAGTATGGTTTATTTGCTTTCAGGATCTTCGTCAGGGTTTTTCAGAAAACTGGATCTTTGGACAACCTTGAAAAACTGTTTGAAACCTAATCGCTTCGGAAATTTTTTTCAATTTTCCATTATAATTTACTCATGATTCCTAAGTTTCAGGTTTTTCGAGTGAAAGTTGATTAATATACTGGTTAATTTCTTGAGGAATTGGGTGACATACTCCGGTTTTTTCAGTGAAAATGCGATAATTCAGGAACGAAATAAAATTCAGCGACACGGATGGCTAGCTTTTCTCAGACCTATCTAGGGTGCAAGATCGACTTTATCCCTCGACGAGAAGGAATTATTCATGTTGGTGGTACATACACCAAGTTGCATTTTTTCGCATTTTTGGAAACCCCCAGTTTTAGTAGCGTCCAAAGTGGCTTGATAAATTTGAAAATCACATTTTACTGGACTAATTTTTAACGCAGGTTACGAATTTCAAAGCTATGTCGATAGTAGAAGCTCATTTTCTCCAAGCAACTGTTCTTTGAGCTTGCATTTTCCCACCGGAAGAAAAAGTCGGTTGGTGAAAAAAAAGTAGATTTTCGGAATCAGCACAATAGGATAAATAAGATCTGTCAGAATGTGTGTAAAAACCGCTCCGTTTTTTTTCCCTCGACCATTACCTTCGGTTGGATATTTCTTCAACAAATATCGCATGATTGCTCTCGATTCAAATATCTTTGTTCCATCGATATCTTCAAGTACAGGAACTTTACCAAATGGTTGTACAGCAAGATGTGCCGGTTGTTTATGTTCACCCTTGCTCAAATCAACCAGAACAATTTCATACGGTAAACCCATTTCTTCTAATACACACCGAACTCGTCTGGTACACGTAGACATTGCCATTCCGTATAACTTGATAGCTCTCTTGTCGCCAGCCATTTTACTTTTTTGTGTGATGTATGGCGTGTTTGCAAGAAAAGAAGTAAGAGTGAGAGAGTAAAAGAAATGGGACGTATAAACGGAAAGAAGGAAGGTTGATGACAAGGCAAAAAGAAAAGAACAGAAAGAAATCGGCGATAATTATTTTAAAAAATGCTTTGTCAGTCTGTAAAAAAAGCGTTCTTCCCGGAACGGAAAAAAGGGTTTCGGCAGAGTGCAGCATAGGCGGAACCCTTTTTTCCGTTCCGGCAAGGGTTCTTTCCTCGCCGGAACGGATTACATATGTGCGCGTTCTTGTCGATGGAACCCTCCAGAAGGGTTCCGGGTCGGGTATTTTCCTTTCCAGAACCCAGCAAGGGTTCCGCCAACTTTGCCAAAACCCCATGGAAGGGTTTTGGAGATGAAAAAATTACTTCTACTTTCGAAACCAATCTCTCCCATCATTTCCATAGACCCTCGCTCGTTTAGTCACAATTCGACTTAGGAAAAAACTTCACTTTTGGCCTTGTCTTCTTCATGGTACTTAGTATTGTATCCAAGGTATTCTTCTGTTTGAGCCGCAGCGGAAGAAGGCCTTGGATACAAAACTAAGTACCATGAAGAAGACGAGGCCAAGAGTGAAGTTGTTGTTTTTTTAAAGAAAAGGACAGCAGAGCTGGGAACGGACTAGCACATAAACCCATTCCATCTCGCGGGGACTGAGTGATAGCGATCTATACGTTCGCTGATCGGAGAAAGACTCAACTCCATCGTGCATGCCGCTTCGGCTCCAATTGTGAGAGCGTGAATTATTATTTGGAGTGGGGATAGAAAAAGTACATTTTTTAGCAAGTACTTTTTAAGTTACAGCTCAACAAAGGCGAAGAATATTCTCGATGCTTCCCAGACAGACAGAGATGTCGAAATATCACGAATATAGACTCATAAAGGTGATTTCTGTTCTATTTTTTACCGTTAGTATAAGCTTTATTTGTAGAAAGAAAAGAAGAAAAAGAAAAGAATTTCCATCGAATAAGTATAGAACAGCAAAAAGAAAGAGGAATAGACCCATGACATCATTTTGGCTGTTCAGCAAGCGAAAACTGCTAGTATAAGTAGTAAGAAAGACACATGTAGCGCACGTAGTCACAGAATAACATAACATAAAAGAACACACACACTCAGAGAAAAAGGAGAAATACATAAATAACAACGATGTAAAAGAACAAGAAAAAGAAAAGGAGCTGGATAGAACGAGAGAGAGGAGAGAGAAATTTTGGTTTAAAAACGTTTTGTGTTTTGGTTGTAGCTAGTAAGAAATAAATGAATGTGTATAATTAGTTATGACCAGAAACGGATCATGAATACTGCGATTGTAAACGGATCTAAAACGGTCCGTTTTGGTGATAGATTATCACCATAATGACAGCAATTATTGAGATTATGTCAAATTAAAAAAAAATTTTTTACAGTATCATGGCTCTCGCCCTATAGGAATGGTATCTTTCAAATTTAAGTCGTATACTTGACTAGCTCTTATGTAAACATACACAAGTTTTACGCATTATACGAGAAAAATTACAGTATTTTTCCTCAGTAATTAAATTAGATTAAACGAAGTTAGCTGAGAATATCATTATTATTGAATTATAACATCTAAAAGTATTTTATCACTAAGTTATATTAAATTTTGACATTCAAAGTGGAATTTACTTTCCTTATGCAGTGTGATTCCCGTGCTTTTCGATGATCCTCATTAAGATAACCTGTTTCGAACGGTATAATCATAACATCTCGAATGGAATGATTCTTCTGGTAAAAGTGGAAGCCCACGGCTGAAGTCCGTTGAACTCTGATTTGGGATGTGTGTTCAAAAAAACGTTCTCGAGCTGATGCTCCTGTTTCTCCGATATACTCCTCCCCACAGCGCTTACATAAAATATAGCAGCGGACGTTACGCTTGTCACATTCAGCGTTTGACTTAGGCTTAATTTTATCCCTGATGTGGTGGAGAGACTCGTACAGTTGTCTATACTTAAACTACAGAAGAAATAGTATTTTCTTGAACATTTCTTGAATGCCACCTGTTCAGACGCAGATGATGGGACAATATCCATTAAATTTCCCAGATGGTATGAGTGTACAAGTAAACGATGTAAATTTTGTGGACACCTATATGCAAGAATGTACTTAGACCCTATCTATGTTTGGAGCCGAATATTTCCGAAAAATCTCTTTTATTCGACTAAACTGTTTGTTATATGTGAGTACCAGTACCGTTTTCCGTGCCTTTTGTCCCAAATCCTTCTCAGAGTCAATGGATTTTTTCTCTTTTAACAAATTCAATCTGTCTAATTTGTCAATTCTCTGAATCTTGGACACTTCATTTTTCGGCCTATATCCTCGTTTACTCAATCGATGAACAATACTGGCGTATTCTCGCCATTTCTCAATATCATCGTTACAAATTCGTTTAACTCTATGTGCAAGTGTAGTGGCTAAATTGTCCAATATAAATCTAGGGTGTCCTGACTCTGATCGAACGTACGGGAAAGTATCCGTGGGTTTTTTGAAAAGTTTCGAGATCAATTTGTGGAATATTGTATTTTTTGTAATTGACACGTCTAGATAATTGATCGTCATCCCACCGAAACTTTCCACTTTATATTTTAAATTCGGATTTACTGTATTCAGTTTCGAAAGAAATTGCCCAAATTCTACTTTATCGCCGTACCAAAGGACTAAGACATCGTCTAGGTAGCGAAAAAATCGAAAAGGTAACTTCTCGCACCTATCAAATAGCCTCAGTTCATTTAACAAAACGAACAGGTTAGCATATGGTAGCACACGTGGGGTTCCCATTGCTGCAGCAGCAAAAAAAATGAACAGAATGCTAGAAAATAAACGGGACGAAACGAGAAGATACCATTCAAAGCTGAAGAAATTTAGAATAGTGTGATATCTCTGCTTTGCTATACATCTTTTTTTCACAGTAGCGTGAGCATTCTAATGACTTTAATGTCTTATTGATGGAAAAAAATAGAATATTCCTCACATAAAAAAGATCTTTTCAGCTATCTATTAATAGTTTGGTTTTGTACACATGAAAATGCGTGTTAAAGTCAAAATATTAAGGTATACGTTTTCCAGAAGTTTATTGAACACGAGAAAATTCTGCCAGATCTCGTAGGAAAAAACTTGTGGATTGAATAAGTCGAAAAGTCTTGCGATGTTTCTTACCTGTGCGCAGGATTTTTTCCATACTGACCCTACAGAAACCATGCAGGGTTCTGTCAGGGCTGGCACTATAAAAATCTTGCGTAAAGGTAAGAAACATCGCCAGATATTTTAATACCGATAACCCGCCCGATCCTGCGCAAAGTCCTGTGGGATGGGATCCTGCATGAATTTTGATTATTTTTTTCAGTGGGTGTACCGGATTTTCTGTATATAGAAATTTCCTCCAAAATGGAAGATGTTATTACCTAACACTATTTTGAGCAAGCCCTTGACGCGAGAGAGGTATGCCGGAAGTTTCTTTATTCTCGAAAACGAAATTCGACACTCTTGCTAAACTTTCGTCAATAGGAATATTAGTATATTGAAGAGGCTACTCTTACTGTGTCGCCATTGGAGTATGTCAGTGACGGTGTATGATTTTGCCTTTCTAGAGTATTTTGACCTGTCTCCTTAACATTTGGAGAAAATGGTACTGTTGGTGTGTTTGTCAATAAAGGTGCTCCTGGACGCAGAAAATTCTCTAACTCATTATTATATAGAAGTCTAGTTTGATTTTGCATCGCTCGATGAAAGTACTCTGTCACCAGTACAAGTTGATCTATACTTAACCATGAAGGAGAACTCCGTGTAGCCTCTAGATTCAGCAACAGAACCAGTTTCCATACAGTATTAATATCTATTTTCAATCCAATACGTATATTAAATTTATCCAAGTAACAAGAATCTGTCTATTCAATTCTCTAACGAACGCCCCCCCAAGCTTGTTGTGGGTATGTTCCATCCTTATCAATTTTTGACGATGCTAATTGTAACCACCTAGTACAAACATTCTGAACTAATTCAGTATCCATCATATATCGAAAATTAAATTAAAGAATTAATAATCAATTTACAAAAAAGAAAGTAAGAGATAGTGAGAGCTCTCAGAGAAAATGAACACCAAACTATTAAAACACTGAATATTTTTTACCGTGTCTTTTTGACCAATTTTTAATACCAATGTCACTAATTCTATGTTCTAATTAATTAGTGACATTGGTATTAGAAATTGGTCAAAAAGACACGGTAAAAAATATTCAGTGTTTTAATAGTTTGGTGTTCATGTGCTAATATTTATAAATTGTCAAGTGTTCGTGTGTGTGTGGATAAACAGTGACGTGGTGTGGCGAAAACGTGACGTGGCGTAAACGTGGCGCCGAAATAATAGTCCACCAAGAACCATCGAATAAAACACCAGCAGTCAGTAGCACACAGTGATACCAAGAACGAATACTCGTGGTAGAAGAATAACCAGTGACGACGGAGAGTAGAAAATAGAGAGTAAAAAAATAATGACGATTATGAGGTAGTCGGTAGTTAACAAACGATCATAACCCGTTTCGACTAAATAGTCCTTTTCAAATGAAATAGTTGACACCTATTACTACTCTCTTTATAATAATTTGTAATATAAGAAAAAAACGTTTTGTGTTTTGGTTGTAGCTAGTAAGAAATAAATGAATGTGTATAATTAGTTAGTAAGATTAGTAAGAAATAAATGAAGTTGCGAAATTTGTGAATAATCTAGGGTATTAAATTGCTCTTTTTTGAAAGAAAAGTAAGTTTGGGGTTTTTAGCATTTTTTCTGGTTGGCTCGAAAGACGCAGAAAAAGTTGAGTTTTCAATGAGTTCTTGCGTCTTTTCAGTTTTTTTGGTCAGGTAAACGTCCAATATTGGACTTCTTTCGTCAAAAAAGTATAAAAGAGCTGTCACGATTAAAAAACGCCTGTTTTCTCTAAAAA